GCAGTCGGATACAGTAAGAATAGGAGATGAAGTCGCGATTGCCCGCGATAACCTCCGATATATTTGTCCTCATAAAAACCGGAATTTGAAACTTCGAGGACGAGAAACCACTTGCGAGGAGCACAATTCCATTTAATTTTGGCGTACGGGCGATAAATCACCTGAGTTCAGTGTGACCATGAAACCAGGAGTGCGAAGGAAGTACTGACGGTCATTTGCCCTCACGCCGCGGTGGTGATACCGGCGATAAGATCAAATACGGTGAAGTACGTCGCCTTATCGTCAAACCCATTTGATACCTTCACCCACATATGCCATCTGAATGTGGGAGATGAATCGATTTGAGCGGTTCGGGGCGTGGCCCTTGGGAATCGAAAAATCCTATGTACCCTTCCCTTATTTGCAAGAAGTTCCTCTGAGCTCAAGCCATGAATCAACAGATTTACAGCCTTCATCTTAAACCAAGCTAGGTCTTCACTATTCAATTATACTTCTATCTAACACTTCTTCCATTTTCGGCATCGTCCCATACTTGGTAATGAGGTCGCTGATATGCTCTTATGGAATACACCTGCATTTTCATACTGATTTCCATGCCATTCTTTCTATGGCTGATCGTTCTGTATTGTGTACCAAACTACTCATGGATGCTATATAAAAATTTGAGATGATGGGTTAATATGAGGTTTATATAATAGTATATTTCCCGAAATTTCAGGCTAAGTGCTCATTTACTGTTTTCTAAGGTTCTTCTTTCCCAAGAATAAAAGCGCAGTCGTGTCCCTCAAATATGAGCGGGGTAGAAGTTTTGATGCAGCTAGTGTCGCTGCTTTCCAAGCGCACGATCCAAAGACCAAATCCTCGCACACCGTCGAGACCAACCAAGCCATCTACCTGTCTCTGTTTTGTTGATTGGTGCCGAACTTGTCTGGGAGGATAAAAAAATACTGTCTAGCGTATTGGCTCGCCTTCCCAAGTCACTCATAGGGCCGAATCGCATTCAGAAAGGCTTTACGACCTGGTCTCCTGATGTGTTATGGGTTGAGCTGGTCGTAATTTTTCTCCAGAGAATTCTCCACTATATTGATAAGCTATGACTGGTATCTTTCCATTCCCATCTTGAGAGCTTACCTTATCGAATTTTAACTGATGTAGACTTCTTCGTAATCACTTCTTATTTTCGGCAAATTCAATCGCAGACATCCGTTGCGCGGCGCTTCAGGGAGATACCACAGAAGGAATTTGCTGTTGGATTTTGGGTTTACGAAATTAGTGCCGTATTAAATAGATACCAATCTAATTGTCATTGTGAGTTAAAGAAGGACGCAGTGCGTTGGCTTCGCCACTCAGAACTTACCCAGAACGATAAAATCATTGAATTAAAGGAAGTTTTCACGATAATTCCTATAGGGAACGATAAGGAAAGCTATGTACTGGAGTGGATAGGGGTCCTGCCCAATGTTACAACACGTGAAGTTTCAGTGGCAGTGGCGCCTTATCAACGGAGTGATAAGGCGCCGAAATCCACTTCCGGGCAGCAAAAACAAATCAATTCTAAAGTGCACCTCATTCAAGCAGCCGCACCTTCTTATCTCATCGTATCATATCTTCCATGGCTTACACTCGTCCAACAATTACTGCCTCACACCTTATCGATTGATAACGCGAGGGTAGCAAATCCAGCGTGGAAGCCAGCGTGATCGCTTCCTTTGAAGGAGCTTTTACAAGGAAAGGTATGGGTCAAACATGAAGTCAAACGCATTCAATTTGCTGGATAGATGCTGAGGGTACGGCGTGTCCCCAGAAAATTGGCCAGCGATTGCTCACGCGTTCAAGGCACATGAAGGTAAGGTGCCTTTTTTGCAGCCCGTATCATCAGTTTTCTCCTTACGTATGTTGTGCTCTCGCAGTGGATTGAGCGCTCCTCAGGAGTCGAAGACAAAACTCACGAAGCAGGAAACGCCTTATTGAAAGGGTTATGAAGTGCAAAGTAACTAACGTGATCCGGTCCTACTACACCTTGGACCATGTTGTGAAATTTCCTTCTCGGAGTGCTTTTCATATCAAGTCACCACACCTTGAAATCGTACTAATCTAAACTTCTGCTTTCTGCGCATGGATAGTTCTTCTCTGCAGTACGTGTACACCTTACCATATATGTAAATAACATATGTGACAAATACTTTATATAATAATGTGTAAATATAAAAATGAGTTCCCATAATTCGTGAATTAGGCCCAAACCGACATTGGCAGACATGGAACACTGATCGGAATCCGTCAGTCGAAAGATATACCCGGGCTGAAACTGGAATTTCATGGAACATCTCTAAGCCCCAACCGTTACACTGATATTTATTGGTGTTTCTGTAGCCTTTTGCTCCAAGAGGGACGAAAAAAGCTGCGTGAGTACAACTTGTTGCGTGCGATCGGCGAACGCGTGAAAAATACTGGCTATATCAGCACGGTTTATTATACACGATTCGAGCTTTTTGAAATTACTCTAGAATTTTTAGCGGAAGTCAAATGGCGTAGGTCATTGCTGGGAACTGATCAGCGCCTCCACATGATTTTTTTTTCTTTGCAAATGGCTCTGACAGTGGCAAAACTTGACTTATTTTATTTCTTAGCAAGGGCTTCCTTGGAATTCACCAAATTCATCAAAAAGTTCGCAGTACCTGGGAATATCATTCTTTTACCAGTTGCCTTCCGGTTCTGTTATGGTATTGATATCATCATTGTTGTTTTGAGACCGATTTTGTTTTCTTGAGTTTGTTTTCATGTACGCAAGGTACATGTACTAAATAAATAAATGAATAAATTTATAAATTCATCATCATAGCTTCAATTTCACTAACATCCGAAAAATACATAAGCTGGCACTTGGCCCATCAAATGACCTCCACGAACAGAGTCGCGCTCGTGCTGACTTTCAGTTATACATATTTTATTGTTCTCTGATGGTACGTCGCATTATTGTATTAGCTCTCAGAAGGTCTTATTATATCGAATTATCGGGCTCTTTAGAGAGGCTGCTCTTCTAGAGTGCTATCTGCCAAAGAATTCCGATTACAGTATGATTGGCTACCGTGCCATGATCACTAAAATGCCATTGCTACTATAGCCTCAATTGTACACATGTTCGAAATGAAAGAACACATTTTCAGGAAACTTTATTCGATGCTCAAGTTTTGATCTCAGGGATTGCAATACAATAGGTTGGTGACTTGATAGTCATTTTTTCTTCCCCATGAATGATGAAAGTCTGAAAATTGTGAACCCATAATGTTTGTCTTCTTAAAATTGATCTCCTAAGAGTGTAGCGGTTATTGGGGCTTATTTTACCTAGCGATTAGAGAGAGATAGATGGTATTAATATAGGTGTCAAATATATATTACTCCCAAGTGCATAAACGAAGTTGAATAAGGCAGCTTCCTCCATTGCACAGAATAGGGGGAAATTTTTTTCTGCGCACAAAGATTCGGGTAATTCTAATATTTCTACTAGTATTGACAGCTTCTCCGCAAAATTCGAGAAAGCCTTTTGTGATTTTCAACTTCAACGGCTTAGCCCAATTCCCCAAATTGATATCACCCGGAGATTGAGGATTGCAAGCGACAGTGCAGCACCCTCAACGCGATGACCGCAGTTATTTTTTGACACACAGAGAACATTAATAAATCGCTAAACAGTTAGTCAAAACGATGAAATGAGATTTTTAGTTCAAAATTTATCGAGTTTCTCGAAGTGCTATTTTCAGAATATGCTAGAACAATGCCGTATGGACGTGCGGTTCCATCTGGAAGGAACACCGTACGTCGCCGATGACACGATAGGCACCGGCGCCTATGGAGTCGTCTGTAAAGCAAAACACTTGGTGAGCTTCGATACATTGTAATTATACTCGAAGCGAAGGTCATAAGATCGACGAGCCTTTTTACTCGGCATATCTGATGTTTCTAAAGCAGGGGCATGTTTGGGCGGAAGTGGTGTAGTGGCAAGTGGCACGCTTACCACGCGAGCGGTCCGGGGATCAAATCCTGGGTCGTGAGTCGCCCGGGCCAACCAAGCCTTCCATCCCTCCGGGGTCGGTTAATTGGTACCAGACTTGTCTGGGAGGATAAAAACACTGACTTGTACATCGGCTGGCCCCCGCAAGTCATTGTATAGGCCACATCGCATTCAAACGCCACTACGAATGTACAAATGGAAGTAGAATGCGTGCCGCATCCCAAAAAGGGATTGATCAACGGCAAATGCTTTATCCTTTTTATCTATGTTTCTAGGCCTTCGTGATGAGCTTGTTTTTGATTGAAAGTCAGCAATAAATAAAGCCAAGCGATGCCTTGCCTCCTTTTTGTTCAGCGGATTTTATGCAACTGTTTCCAATCACTATGTGTTCGAAGGCTTGCTCAGGAGCACATTCACCTCCATCTGGCCCGAGCGTGGGGGAAAGCATACTATCTGCTATTGTATTGGGTCTCATTTGGTGAAATAGAAGCGTGTTTCTTGAAAACATGAGAAAAGGAAGTTCTTCAGAAAACTTGGAAATTTCTGGAGCTTTTGCTTTGTTGTGGTGTTTTCAGAGGAATTTGTAGGCATTCGCAGTTGTGCTCCCACAACTATGTATATCAATGTATTCAGTCACTATCTCTTCGCTCTCTTTCCCGTTCTACGGAGTGGATTTTGGTGAACGACAAGATCGTTGAACCATCAGCCATTGGGATTGAGGAAGAGAAGAAGTGGGGGTGGGGGGGGTCAAAGTTCCGAAATAGGCCGTGGTAGGTCCTGGCTTCGATTCCGCTTCTTCCTGTTCTTTCGTAAGAAAAAATGTGTAGAAAAAACTGTGTAGAAAGGATTTTTGTGGCGTTATAATGCTATCAGGCCACTAGAAACCATGTCGAATCAACAGGCATGGGGAGGCGATGAGATTGTACGGCCAGGGGAACCCCATTAATTTTACTAGTTGTGTTACAAGCTGTTTTTGATCGTCCACTTTCTCGTCCACCACGCGATTCTGTGCACACTTGCAAGAGGCGTTCATGATCAGATGGACAGGTGGAGTGATTGCCAGTTTCACCACCATGTCTTTTTTCACCCCTCAGATATGGTTTTCACTGAGACGGCACACTGCAACCGTTCCCACCGGTGACTCACGATTTGTACGCTTGTTGATTCACTAGAGAAAAAGAGCCATTACAGTTTCATCCAATTATCATACGCTTTTAACAGTTCTGTTTTCTAACAGCCTTCACAACGAGCCGTGGCTATCAAGAAAATTCCTCGCGCTTTTGCAGCGCATACGCTGGCGAAACGGTCGTTGCGTGAGGTGCGTATACTACGGGAACTTCGACACGAGAACATCATCGCCGTACTCGATATGTTCACTGCCGAGGGCACTCATGTGAGTTCGATTGAGATTGTATTTAGACACACTCATCATTCCTTACCTAAAAGAGATTGCAAGTAGGACTCGATTTCTTATTTTGCGAACTTAACGGCATGCTCCACAATTACCTGTACACTCCCCTTCATTCCTGAGCTGGAATGGTTTTCCACGCGCAGACATTTTCTCGGCTCCGAAGTGTGTGAGAAAGATGTGCTAACCATGAAGCTCGCTCGCTCGTAATCTAGACTCCAGCCCCAGTGCGGTTCAGTATGCCTGAAGACGCTTTCGGCTTTTCTCAT